TCATGAACTCCTGGTAAAGACTACATCTCCTATGTTCCTTTCCTTGCAGTTTAAATTTTAACTTTTACTTTTGCTCCCATGTTCATTTATTCTGATTCTTACTTTATAAATGTTTGTTATTTTTTATTATTTATCATTGTTCTTGTGTGATACTTGAGCTGTTTTATATGTTTGGACTGATCTTCCAATAAAGCTATATGTAACATAATGCAGCAGCCATATAAAATTAATGTATTTTTTCAAGTAATGCCTATAACAAAAAAAAAAAAAAAAAGTGGGGTCTTCAATTTTGGATCTGCGATAGTAGCAAAACTTGATGGAAATCATTACACAGCACAAGATAACTTTCTGCATTTCAAGAGATTTTTTAAAGTTTAGAACATGACATGCAATCTTTTAAAATGTTTTAAACAGATCATATCACAATCAGTCATACTAACTTATAAAAGTCAAAAAACAGTCATACAAGTTAACAACCTCAGATATGTACAAAAAATATTTCATACTTACATATTCACACAGCCTCCTTGGTGCAGTTTGGCAATTTTTTACAGAAATAAAGATGATTTGGTAAATTTTTGGATTGCAACATACTAGTGCTATTGCTAAAGAACTGTTATGTGCATGGTTGTCAGAGTTTGAAGACTTCTCAAACTTTGGTGACTTCTACTAAAGTGATTACGATAATACGTAAGTGCCAAATATATACAGAAATATGAGAACACAAAAAATGTTCTAAACAGAGAAATTCATTATTTTCAAGTTTTAATGATAATGCTCACTCTGGTGCATGACACACTGATGTTAGCAAAATTATACATAAATTGCTTGAAAAAATAATATATATTTATGTATTATTTGTAGCTTATAAATATAAAAAAAAACTTTTAAATTCATTTACTAAAATATGTGTAACACTAAAAAAAGTGTTTCAAGCATGAGTTAAAAAAAAATAAAAGACGCATTGCTAAATAAAGGGTTCAGAGTGTAGTAAGATACATTTCTTTCTCTCCCCTCTATTTGCAGAAATTATTAGTTATTTTATAGGTCTAAATTAGTTATCAGAAGACTGCATTACATATTAATAACTTCATTGGCATTTTTAGTTTCCACAAGGTTACTGACACATACATGCACATTTAACTTAAATATATGATAAAAATATGGCACATAACTATTTTATCAGAAAACACTACAGCTACAAAAACTAGTTACAGTTGTTTTATTACAATGCGAGAAACATTATTCATTTCTGCAGATTCTTCATTATTTAATTTCTTCAAATACTATAATACAGGGCAATAATATTTTGTGGCAACAGTTTGAAAAGTGAAATGGACATTCAGAGTAATTCGACGAAAAATCACAAGACGAAAACAAGTCCTTCCTCAGGGACAAGCCCCTTTCGACTAAAAAAAAGACCTGAAAAGGTTTCAGATTTTAAATTATGTCCAAAGGCGCATTTTTTAAAACATTTTGTGTCTTACCTTTATTTATTAAATATAATGTTCTTCGCACTTAAACCATAAAATTCAATTAAACAGCAATATTGCAAAATAATTTTAAAATGAGCGTATCTTTAGAATTTCTGATACATGGTCTCACGCACTGGAGATAATTTTTTTTTTTTTTTTCTGTACAGTGTTGCCACTGCTCATTTTGAAATCGTTGAGCTTGTTAATAAAAAGTACATCAAAATGTTACAAAACATGAAATTGATAGTAAAATAAATTCCAAATTAGGGATTCTAAATGGTCATATTTGGTGGAGGATTACACTATTCAAAATTTGATGGCTCTAGGTACCGTTCTTTTATCACAATGCGAGAAACATATACAAATTTACACAGATTCTTCATTATTTAATTTCTTTAATATAACACAGGGTGATAATATTTGGTAGCAACAATGAAAAGTGAAACGGACATTTAAAGTTTTCAACGCAAAATTCCAAATGGAATTAATAGCCCTTCTGGGCTATCACCCTTTGGCCTAAAAACCTGAAAGCTTTCAGATTTTATATTATAACGAAGAGGGCATTTTTTTAATGTTTTGTGTGTTACCTTTACTTATTAAATATCATATTCTTCACATTTAAACCATAAAATTCAATTCAACAGCAATATCACAAACTATTTAAAACAGCATATCTTTAGAGTTTCTGATACACGAGGGAGATAAAAATACCCCCTCCCCCGTATAGTGTTGCCATTGCTTGCTTTGAAATCATTGAATTTCTTAATCAAAAACTCATAAATGCTTTACAAAATATGAAATAGATAACAAAAACAAATTCCAAATTTGGGCTTCCAGAAGCCCATATTCGGGTGGAGACATACATAATTCAAAATTTGCTGGCTCTAGGTATTGTTGGTTTATCACAATGCGAGAAACATACATAGTTTCGTGCAGATTCTCCATTATTTAATTTGTTTAAATATAATGCAGGGCTCAAAAATTTGGCGGCAACAATTTGAAAAGTGATTCACGATTTAAAGTGAATCAACACAAAGTGCCAAAATGAAATTAATAGCCTTTCTTGCAAATTGCCCCTCTGGGGCTAATAAATAAAAAAATAAAAAAGGCCAAATGACATTACTCTGCAGACAAGCTTTCATAGGTCATTATGTCATTGATGACTCCCATATGTCCCAAGAAACATGCAAAAATGAAATCATTGAAATTATACTTGAAAAGATTTAAAAGAAAAAAAAAAAAACTGAAGGGTTTCAGATTTAAATTACATCCAAAGAGGCATTTTTGTAACATTCCGTCTGTTATCTTTACTTATTAAATATCATGTTCTTTCCACTTAAACCATAAAATTCAGTTCAAAGAGCAATATAGTTTTAAATTGAGCATATCTTTAGAATTTCCGATACAGAGTCTCGCATGCGGAAGATCAAAATGATTTTCTGTGCAACGTAGGCATTGCTCGCTTTGAAATCCTCAAGTTTGTTAATCAAAAATTCGTTAGAGTTTTACAAAATACGAGATCGATAATAAAACAAATTCGAAATTTAAAAATTAGGCTTCCACATGCCCATACTCGCAGTAGAATTAAGTCATTCAAGATTCGACGGCTCTATGTACCGTTGTTTTATCATAATGCGAGAAATATACATACAGATGCAAGAAATACATGCAGATTTTTCATTATTTAATTTCTTCAAATATAATGCAGGACTCTTAACAGTTGGTGGCAACAGTTTGAAAAGTGAAAAACAGGCATTTAATACCAACCAAAATCGCAACAAACGAAAACATAGTCCTTCAGAGGCAAAACCCCTTTGGACTATTATATATATATATATATAAAAAAAAAAAAAAAAAAAAAAATTCTTTTTAAAGTTTGAAGAGCCATGCAATGAGTAGAATAAAAAAAAAATTATATTTTATTTACTATGATGTTCAATGACCATATATCATACATATGGATTATATTTTACTACTATCCTAAAAATCAGCACTAACTGGGTTACATCAGTGAGCTTTCTTGAAAGATAGCAAGTATACTTTCAATTACAAATCTGACTAAAGTCTATTTCTTGCTTACTCAGATATTATTTGATACATGAAATTTTCAAAAACTAAAACAAGATATGCAACTTACACTCTTAACAGAACTGGATTCAGTTATTTGATTAGGCAGCGCACATCATGTACTTTTACCTCTGTACAGTTATGGACATAAAAGTCTGCATTACAAGGGTGGCTTTCTAATCTATTATATACAAGAATTTCTGTGGCCTTCTAATATATTCCATTTCAGGTTGGATTGGGGTAGAAGAAAATGAGTCTTGGTAGGAAATAAATCATAATCAACAGAATACCATTTACTCATGACATTTTGGGAGAATTAAAAACTTCACGACCAAACCCATAACAATCAGATGGGTTAAAAGAGAAGTAATATATTTCTCATGTCTAAGGAATAAACTTACTGCATAAACAATAACTTGAAAGCAGAGGGAAGGCTATCTAAAATCCCAAAACATATTTTTAACAGGTACTATTAGATTTTTTGTCTTTTTTTTCGGGGGGGGGGTAGGAGATGGAAGCATTAAATATTAAAATAAAGATATGATTATAAAGAGGAATATTTTATTCATTTAAGTTTTATACAGCTCTAAGTTCATATAATTCTATTCCTTATATATAATTTGACATCAATAGAGTCAATGAATTCAAGTGACAGTTATTTCATTGCAATTTTTTTAATAATATAGTTACTTACCAGAACTTAAAGCATCAAACAAACTTATGCCTCCTTCTTTAGATAACAACAAATACTATCGCACGGTACGCATATACTAACAAGCACAACAATCACTTTATCGCAATATATCAATTATCGCAATATATCAAACAGAAAACGAACCATTCGTTACTAGGGTTATTTTACAGAAAGCAGACAGTTGTTTATTTTATCTTGATGTTGAAAATTTCCTTATAAAACTTTAATTAAACAATACTTCAAAACACAACAAAAAATTAGTAACTATTAATTAAAACTACCAACACAAATAAACAAACCTGTACATATTTCGAAACGCGAACCGAAACTTTTCAATCTGTTGCCAAGTGTTTCGCAGTTATTAATATGAAACTGCAAAAATTCATGACCAACAAAAAGCGAAATACTTAGTAAAATTCTGAAAGCTGAAGATAAATAAGAGAATTTTCTAAGATATCATAAAATATCTCCTATATGTTTAGAATCGATTAAATTCTGAACAACGTGGAAGGAAAGTGAATCTTTCTCTTATTTATCTTATGGACCTCATCACAGTCTTGGCCTGTCACAGTGAAAAAAGCTTTCTTTCAGGTCAAAATCCTATACTTGAGAGACTAGAACTTTGCATTTATTGGTGTCGTTGTATCTATAAATAGAAACTACAAATTTTAAAGTATTATTTAAAAAAAAAAACTCATGACCTATCCATTCCCATCATTTGAGTTTTTTAAATATTTTATTCTTCGGAGGCAATATCCTAGAACGGTAATGCACCGAAAGGAATTACTACTGTTAAATACACGTGTTTATGTAATAAATTTAAAAGATGGATAAAATATTCTCTTAGTATTTATTTCAGTATAGTAGCTTTGTAGTTATTCTTTAAAATCATTCTTCAGTATGAAAATAACTTCAATTTGCGAACGTGATTTTGTTGTGAATTGTGTTACAAGAAAAAGTAAACGATTAGATGGAAGGGATTTATCTCAAGGACGTAATTTGGAAATAACATTCGGCCAGGAAAGAGGTTGTTGCCTTGTAATGCAAGGTAACACTCGTGCCCTGGCTCAGGTATCTTCTGAGGTTACAGAACCGAAACCTGCAACACCTACAGAAGGTGCTCTGTACATAAACTTAGAATTCTCTGCCATGGCTTCTCCCGAAGCTAAATCTCTAATGAGAACTTCCGATGAAGCAGTTGAATATCAGAGATCTCTGGAAAGATGTGTGCGAGATAGTAAATGTATTGACTTGGAATCTTTATGCATTGTAGCAGGAATGAAAGTGTGGACAATTCGAGTAGATATTCACACTCTCAATGACGATGGAAATTTGATAGAATGTGCCAGTATTGCAGCTGTTTCTGCTCTTGCTCACTTCAGGCGTCCAGATATCACTGTAGTGGGTACAGAAGTGACTGTCCATTCACCTGAAGATAGAGAGCCTGTACCTCTTAATTTACACCATATGCCTATTACTGTAAACTTAGCTTTATTTAATCAAGGTGAATATATCCTTATTGATCCAACAGAAATTGAAGAAAAGGTCTGTGATGGCTGCTATATCATAGGCATGAATGCACACCAGGAAATATGTTTTATACATCGGCGTGGTGTTTTATTATTACAGGAAGATGTTCTGCAGAGGTGTGAGAATGCTGCTGTTCAGAGGGCACAGGCAGTTACTCAGATTATTAGAGGAGCTTTGGATGATGATGCTTACAAAAGGGCTACAAATGCAGCAGTTGGGCTTGTAAATATGTTGCAGACTGGAACTATTTTGGGTGCAAAATGTCCTCTTCCCGAGTTTGATTTAAATGCTCTTAGTAAACATAAAGATGTTGAGTTGCCTCCTGCAGAACCTCAAGTTATTACTGTACAAGATAATGATACAATGCCAGTTATAATGTCAGAGATTAAAACTTCTGATGTTAAGGAACGTGCTTTGCGCATTTTGAATAAACCTGAAATGGCAGTTTTTGAAGGTGGAGTTAGTAAGTGGGGTGTAGAGCCAGAAGTTGAATCATCAGATGAAAATGAATCACAGAACGAAGGAACATCAGTGAAAGGAAATAGACAAGGCTCTATGAAAGAGGAAATAGAATTTGATAGTGAAGAAGAAACAGTGTTCATTAATGAAGATCAAGTTGATGTAAAAACCAAATCACGGGGATGGTATTCAAGTGATCCATTTGCCTAAGTGTTCTTTGCAGTAATAATCATTGTAAATAAATAGTGTATGATGAATATGTTTCTCTTTTAATAAAGATTACATTTAAAAGGAAGAAAATATTTTTTAATTGTTCACTTTTTAAAGCATACATGTAAAAAATATAATTAATTTAGGAAATTTTATCTTTCTTTTTATGGTTGTATTATAAATAGAGAATCCTAAACAATGTTCACTCATGGGTGAGTAGGCATGTGACTAAAAGAATCAGGTAAAAAAATTATTTTTATTTATATACATAGTGCATGTTTTTTATTGATGCAATGCTGTACTCTATGATCTACTTCTGAACCTCCAATTACATAAAAATTTATTGATGTAATTATTTATACCCTGTTCTCCCCGAAAATTTCTGCGGATGCCCAGGACACTTTATAAATTCATTTAAGTAATTAAGAAACCTATTACATGTATGTCATACAGGCCTGCGCGACACATAAAGTTGGTATTAAGGAATAAATGGAAATTTTTAACGTTCGGACAAAATATTGAAGATATTAAAAAGTAGATTGCATACATTTTGTAGAGTTTCTGCTCTGAAGGTGGTATGGATGGCTAGGATTCTGGTTTTTGTTCGACTCTTGAATATTTATGATTAGCTAATTTCTTACTTAAAAGCTCTTTATTGGATTTCATATGTTCATAAAAGTGAGTACATGGCTATTTAAAGTTCACTGTTAAAATATTCTTTTAGTTGTCAGACCTGTTATAAACTTTTTGAAAACCAAATGCTGAAGGTAAGAGGTAAAAAAAAATATATATATAATTGAAAATTTAGCTCGAGAAATTTTAATCTTAATTTCATTAATGAAAATTTCAAATTACCAAAATTCTGTGCATTTGTCTTAGTAACTCATAATACGTTATTTGGGGCAAAGAAACTGTTTCTTGTTCTATTTATTTTTCAGATATTTTCTAATCAGTATATCTTTTCTCCAGCAGTTTGCTACCAGTGAATCATCTAGTTTTTAATAATTGAAGTCTATTATCATTTACAGCTATACTGAATTTTTCACACACAGTATAAATTGCTAATTGATAGCAGTTTGTTGAAATTTCTGGTGATTATTTTGATTACATACATTTGATATTTAATAACTTTTAAATTTACTAATTCTGTGACAATCTAATTTTTGGGTTTTCTTCTGCAAAGGATCCGTTGGCGCTAGTGCGCATTTATTCGCCAACGGCTAATCGCCCATGATTTTAGTGGTGTATAGTTAAGTTGCAAGATATTTATCATATAGAAGCCATGATTTTATTGGTGTACAGTCAAGTTATGAGATATTTAGCATATAGAAGTAAAATAAATAGGTTAATAAATGACATTTAGCGGTGTATAGTTAACCTGGGATTATGCGTGCTGTATTATGTAACACGAGAGCGTGCGTCGCAATTAAATAATATACAAATGAAACATATTATTTGAATTCAGTAAAATAATGCATTATGTCACAATAACACGCCGAATAAATACTAATTCAGAAATCAAACAACAAAATTTCAAAAAAAAAAACCGCTACGTAGACGATACTTTTACTCTGTTTGAAGGTAATAAAGATGATTTAAATAAAGTTCTTTCAACAATGAATCTATTGATCCTGCTTTCATTCACTTTTGAACTTGAGACTTGCAATTCTCTTCCGTTCTCTCGCATTCTGGTCACACGTAACACCTCCACTTCAGTACTACGGTTTACGTAAACCTTCATCGGTTTGGCTTCCACCTCACTTTAATCATGTCATCCGACTAAACAAAAGTTAGCTTCATTTTATTCCTATGTTTCCGTGCTCTTCAAGTTGCTCCTCCAAACTAGCCCTTGATGAAGAACTAAATTATTTAAAAGCAATAGCTATTGACAGGGGCTTTTCACCCAACATTATTAATCAAGCAGTTAAAAAATTCTCATCTCAACACACTAAAAAGCCACACTCTTATTTTAGGAGCTTATAAAAATTCTGTTGTCATTCCCTTCTTTCCACATCAATAGCTATAAAGTTGCACATATTTTGAAGAAATTTAACTTCGGGTTGTTTATTCTCCATCAAAAATTCCGAGTTCCCATACTCAAGGACCCCCCATTCCGGATATGAATTCCTGGGGTATTTATAGGATTCCTTGCCGTTTGTTTAATTTACATTGGCCAAACTAAGAGAGCCTTAAAATTTCGCGTCAAGGAACATGAGGCATATGTTAGACAAAGGAAACACAGAAGTCTTCGTGCTCACATTGTTGGTCTGAAAACCACACTTTCAGTTTTTCTGCTGCCAAAATTATTCAAAAAACATCTTCCATTGGAGAACTGGATTTTCTAGAGGCATTTCACATTCATAAAAATCTTTCTGTTCTAGTTAACGATCCTAATTCCAATCCAAATTTGCCTTTGGCCTTTAAAAAATTAATGTTTTAGTTCTGGTTTTAAACCAACAGATGGGCCCTTGCTTATTCTGTCCAGGCTTTCTTACCTTATCTAATCTTATTCCTATCTTGTTCATTTGCGGTTTTGCAGCTGAAGATGGTGGTTCGGTAAAACCATCGAAACTAGTCCTGTGAAAACTTTGTAAATATAACGCTGATTTTTGTTGTTTGATTTCTGAATTAGTAATGCATTATGTATTAATTTCAACATTCATTATATAGCTTGAAAATAATGTTAATTTTAAAATTAATAACAAATAAATCAAAAGTACTTACATTTTCTTCAGATGACTAGGAATCATTGATTTCTATGAGAAATTTGTGTTGGCTAATCTTTGGAATATGGTAACGGGTAGTTTGGCAACATTTTGGTAAGGTGATAAAGGTTACTAGCTAGGACTTTAGCAGTGTACATGGATAAAGTCAAGAGTGTGTGCATGCCATATTTGTGCAATTCTGGGATGTTTTTTTAAGTGAAAATGGTCGACATGTACATGGATGATACTGTGTATGTGCAATTCTTAAAAACACGGCAAGCAGTGGACGATTTCGCGCTTTCTCCCAATTTCGCACCTAATCTTCGTCATGATTAAGCACTTTTGTTCCATAAAAATTGTAGCATAAGCGTAATTCAAACCCTGCTACAACAACCTTGCTAGTTTTTGTTTGGATGCCATTTTGTTTTCACGAAGTAAAGGCATTTTTTTTTACTCACCATATTTTTCCAACAATCTGCTTGCCGAATTATGCTTATGCTACAACTTTTATGGAACAAAAGTGCTTAATCATGACGAAGATTAGGTGCGAAATTGGGAGAAAGAGCAGAATCGCCCACTGCTTGCCACGTTTTAAGAATTGCACATACACGTATCATCCATGTACATGTCGACCTATTTTACCTAAAAAAAAAAAAAATCCCAGAATGCCACAAAAATGGCATTGCGCACACTCTTGACTTTATCCATGCACACTGCTAAAGTCCTAGCTAGTAACCTTTATCGCCTTACCAAAATGTCGCCAAACTACCCGTTACCATATTCCAAAGATTAGCCGAGTTATATAATTAATTTCCAAGTCAATTAGGCTCAAGAAGAATTATATATTTTGTAGTTTATACACGAAGCTTCTATTTCACAGTATTCTTGACATATATATCTTTTTACACTTCACACATACAGTTTTTGATTTTCTGTTTTTTTCCCTTGAGCACATGTAACATCTCCGGTAACGTAATATTCTTTTCTTTGATTGCGAATCTTCATTGTATTCCTTCTATCTCTGTTGTAATTCCAAATGAGGATCTAAAAGTGCAAAGGCCAAATCAGAACTGCCTCCTGTTCCTGAACTTCTCTGGTAGAGTTTTAGTACATAAAAGCAAGATACTTGAATTTATGCCAGCAATATTTAATAGCGAAAAAAATATGCCCATAGGCCATCGGTTTGATATTCTGGCCACGGAATAAGTGCCACCCATTTCGTCGACTATATCAACTGCTCCTTTTATCATGTTATAAAACGTAAGTACTTCAGATTTCTTCAAATCTCCTGTGCTTTCATCAATATGGTCATCATTGTGCATAGCTGACAAAAGGTTAACACATTTGTTCTTTTCAGCCATGTAAGAAAGTAGCATTATATCCTTTTGAAACCCCAAGAGGGTTGAATGCTGTTCTCTATTCTTATTCAAACACAATTCAGTGGATAATCTTCTTATCTTGCATATTGTTCCAACATATTGAATTTTAAGAAGGAAATTTATTTTATACCAACTGATATGCGTTTCTTCCAGAATTGTGTAATGGAGCTAGGATGCACTTTGCTTTTTCACAAGAACTGTTGACTTTATGATTGTTGGCCCATCTGGCTGCTAACATGAGTAAATTTCCATGTTGAAAGTATAGAAGGTTCTAAAATCAACCACAGTAAATATCTATATACCATATCTTGCAGGTTTCTTAGGCATATAGTGCCGAAAAAGGCATCATCCTTGAAAAGGTTCTAGCTTTTCGTTCAAAATCGCATATTCCCCTACATGATATAATTTCCGACAATTCTTGACAATATTTTCAAACAAATCTTTTATTGGAGCTAATTGATCACTCTTTCTTTTTCTTCCCATCCGTCTCATCATCAAATTATAAGCACCACTTATAGTTCATTTGTTTTACGAAAAATATCCAATCCTGTTCCATCAGTCGCCCATAATTCTCTAACATTTACATGGGAGGATTTGTGCAATCCAGCTATGTATAAGAGTCCTAAGAAAGCAAGAAACTCTTCTTTCTCCATAGGTTTTGCTTCTCTTTTAAAATTTCCCCAAATATTTTTTACATAAATATTAGAGCATCTCACAATCAGTTCAATCATTATGTCATCAAATATTAGCTTCCATGCATCGATGGGGGAAGCCACATCTTTAGATATATGTGTATTGCCAGCAATTTTTTTTTATGATATAATTTCTGTCAATGCGTCTTGACAAAATTTTCAAAGGTAAATCTTTCTTCCATTAGAGCTAATGTTTTATCCTTTCTTATAAAAGTCAGTTTGATCACAAGGAATGTCTTTTGAAGAGTCGCACTCTTTTTCTGATTCAGACTAATGATCAATATATTTTCATTATCTGAATCTTGTAAAAAAGT